GTAAACAGCACAAATTTAGATCTTGCATTTTTTTCAGCGAGACTCACAACCTCTGCCTTTTAATTGGAGTATTTAATCTGCTTAGATTGAATGCAATTACTGATTGGGTTGGGTTGAAGAATATCATGTTGTCATTTGGTTTCTATTAGAGTGATTTATTCTTTCCTTTGTCCTTTTCCTCTCTGCTTTGGTGGTATCTCCTTCTGTCTTGTTTAATTCCTGTAGCTATACCTCTATACGAAGTTCTAACAATTGAGTTAATGAGCTTGTTGCTAATCTTTTTTGATATCAGAGAAATTATGCATTATGAATTGGTACCAACCGGACAAACAGTTAACCGTGTTTACTATTTAGAAGTGCTGAAAAGGCTGCGTGAAAAAGTTAGGCCACTTGAACTTTTTGCCAACGATTCATGCCTCTTGCATCACAACAATGCACAAGCTCACATGGCGCTGTCTGTGACGGAGTTTTTAGCCAGTAAACAAACAACTGTGTTGGAACACCCTCCCTACTCACCTGATCTGGCCCCCAATGACTTCTTTCTTTACCTGAAGGTAAAGGAGATATTGAAAAGAAGACATTTTGATGACATTCAGGATATCAAGGGTAATATGACAGCAACTCTGATGGCCATTCCAAAAAAGTTCTAAAAATGCTATGAAAGGGGGACTAGGTGCAGGTGTAGGTGCATAGCTCCCCAAGGGGAGCATTTTGTAGGTGGCCATAGTGATATTCAGCAATGAGATATGGAACACATTTTGTAGAATGAGTCCACGAACTTAATTGTCAGATCTCGTAGATTACTTTAGTGGTCACTCTAAGATACAATATGCCTTCTTCTCATATCACAGTCTACTTAGAATTAATATTATAGCACTTCCTATGAGAACCTTGCAAGGATACATTTCCTTTTATTTGCCTCCCACCTTTTGTATTTAGTCTCATTTTATACTTTAATTTCTGTTTTGCCCTTGTGCTTACAATAGGGATCATTTCCCTTCAGCCTGAAGAGCTTCTTTTAGTTATTTCTTTCACTGCAGGTGTGACGGCAACAAATTCTCTTACCAGTGCTTTTTTCAAACACGTCCTTATTGTCACCTTCATTTTTGACAATATTTTCAGTGGATATAGAATTTCAGAACTAGAGCACCTATTTCTTTTTTTCTCTCAACTGTTTGAAAATGTCATTTTACTGTTTTCTGACTTCCATTATTTCTGACGATAAGCTCATGGTAATTCTTATTGTTGCTTCTCCTAAAATAATGTAACTGATTTTTACCTTCTGTCTACTCTCAACATTTTCTCTTTATTTTGATTTTCACCATTTTGACTATTATGTAAGTAGATGTGATATCTTTGTCCTACCCGAGGTTCACTGAGCTTCGTTAATCTGTCTATGACAAATGTAGTCTAACAAGAGGCCTATGAAAAAGGAACCGGTTTGTGTCCTTTTTTGATGGTAAAATACCTTTATTTCTCAGACTCAGTGTTGTGTGGGATATGAAGACAGAAAACAAGCCCTGTGAGCCTGTAAGTCCACAGAGAGTGGAAGTATGGCAGAAGTGTGGTGGTGGGCAGGGAAGGCAGAGCCATCCCAATACATGTTCCTGGAACAAGACAGCAAGCACCTGCATTCCTTTCAGCCTATTTCCCGCCTACTCTAGGAGCTGGCTTTGCGGCCATGCTGACACCTGACTCTTCTTGTGGGTCTGGAGGGAAGAAGGGGTTGTGGAAATAAGTCTTGGTGAGTAGAGGCGTTACAGAGATATCTTACTTTTTTTAAATTTTTGAATGTTCATGACAAAGATTTTAAGCAAGGGAAGGATAGTTTCCTCCATGTTGGGGTGATGTGGGGTGGGAGATGTACTACCACAGACACAGGAGATTTGAAGTTATCGGCATGTCTAAGGTGCTTACCGTCCTCCATCCCAATGTGTCCATAAGCAGACTTCAGCTCTCAAAGGAAAGTGTTTTGAATGATTGTCACAGGAAGGCTGCCACAAGAGCCCAGCGGCTTTCTCTCTGGGGAGCTGTCTGAGTGGAAGCTTATCTTTTGTTCAGGGATGCCAGGAAGTCATCGCAGGGCAGGTGTTAGAAAACTGTCAAGACCTCTTGATGGAATGGCTGCCAGAGGGCCTGGGTCAGCCCAGGCTCTGTCCTACCTCTGTGGTACCTTCCGTTGGTCGCCTCCACCTCCTGGGACATTGTGTCTCTCTCATGTCTCAAAAGACGATGTCATACAACATGGTCCTCAAAGTAGTTTTAAACCACAGAATCATTTCCTCAAACGAAAGCTTGTACCTAAAGCAGTGTGTGGCTTGGCAAATTTTTAAAATGCTATTTTTGTTTTGCTTTGTATGTTTTCCTTTGTCTTTTTCAGTCAAGGCTCCAGGTCCTTTGTAAGTCTTACATGTGGGGATTTCTTTCCACTCCAAAGCTGTAGCTGTGTGACAAGACTGCTCTTCCTTGTAAAAGTGCCCAAGGTGATTCAGCGATTGTTTTGCTTCATGCTTTGCGTGCAACACGATGTGAGAGGCCATATGGGCCTTTGAGGGCCAGGTGATCTCAGAGTGTTCAGCCCATGCCAGAACAGAGTGTAGTGTTTTGTGTATTTGAGAGAGATGGGCATTATCCCAGAGCTGGAACACTCGCTTAGCTCCCAGGCAGTGCCCCATGAGTGTGGCAAGACCTGGAAGGATGGCAGAAATCTTGAGACTTTGGTGTAGGCTTGTGGAGATGTTTCACCTTTTCTTCCATAGGAGACAATGCCTTGGATCACACTGTAACACACGAGAGGGCCCGCGGAGTCCCTCTGCAGCCAGAGAGGGGTTAGGATTGAGCCAGTCCTCCTCTTTGTCCTGCCCTTCCTGCTATTCCAAGACCCCTCTCAGAAAAGGCCACTTGCGTGGTCTCCATGTGGCCGACCAGACCACGGCAGGCCGCTGTGGGCCCTCAACTTGGCCATTGTCATAGCGTCAATTCACCCCAGGTGGCAGCTCCCTCTCCTTCCTGAGGTCTCGGATCCTCTCTTTTTATAAGTGCTGTGGGCACTGGGGCTCCACTCTACTGTGAGGAACATGAAGGCATGCAACTGGGGCTGACACTTAGACTCGAGGACGAGCCTATTAACCACAGTGGGTGTTAGCTCTGAGGAGCCACCTGGTTTTAACTACTGCTCACACTGGGAACACAGTTGCCTATCACTGTGCCTCACTGTGGGCTCTCGTGTTGCAGATTCATCTTTCTGGAGGAGGACCATGTCTTGACTGACCATGGGCCTCGGTAAATTCTCAGAGGTTCTATTTCTCCCCAGCTCTGGTTGTTCTTTATTGTCTTCCCAGGGAGAAAGATTCCAGGCTAGAGGGTGGGAGAGTTCCTCACTGCTTGGGTCTCCAGGTCCCTGTCCTTCCCCAACACCCTTCTTTTCAGAACCAAGCCAGCCAACCTCAGTTTCACCTGAAATGAAGCCTTCTTCTCTGTCATGTTCTCCACACACAGTTGAATGGCACGGTCATAATAATCTTGTAAGCAGTTTTCACACTCCTGATGCTCTAGCATGGTCAGCTCCACCTCCTGTATTTTGTCTGAGTATGTGCACATTGGGGAGACGTGCCCCCAGCCAGCCACATTGCACTTCTGTCCTGTTCTCACCCAGTCCTAGCCTCTGGAGTGGTGGAGGGCTTCAGAGCTCTAGTCAACTTGATGTGCCCCTCTAGCTGATGGGAAGAGACAAGACAGCCCAGGTCATCCATTGACCCCAGGCCTGGACACCGCGATGGGCTGCACTGTCTTGCTTCCCCCACTGAGGCCCTGGGATTTGTCTGGTGACCAGTATGAGAAAAAAGGAAGGGAGAGGTCCCAGTGGGATGAGAAACAATCTGGACCCAGGAGAGCAAGAGCAGCTGGACGTTTCCTTACCTGCAGTAACATGATGCCATTGGAGAAGTTCTTGGGATTATAGTCTGGGTGGGGGATGGCTCTTGTCACCTCGCAGACCTGCTGGGTCTTCTCCTGTTCCAAGATGTTGTGCTCCGCTTCACTCGTGATCATGACTGAGCTGCACAGAGAGCAGACTGTGGGAGTGGGGGGTCGGGGGATACAGCCCAGGTGTTGTGAAAGGCAGGTGACAGCTGAGGTGGGTCAGGTCTGCAGTGGGGGAAATTGAGGACACAGGAGGGCTAAGGGCTGAGTGACTTTGTCCTCTCTGCTTCTCAAGGACAATGAGGGTAGGGCTTCTGGAAAGTCTCTCTTGCCCTCACACAGTATCCTGACATTGCTTGAGTTTGCATTTGGCCCAAATACATCTACTACCCCTGCTTGATTTGGCCAGTGTGGTCCTTGCCTTTTCAACTGTGCCACTTGTTCTACCTCCGACCCTCTGAGCCCAGCTTACCTGTCCTATTTCTAAGCTTTTCATCACGTGGTCACTCCCTCAGACTCCTACTCTGATGAGCTTTTGTGGGTTTGAATTACCAGAAGCCCGAGGATCCCACCTGAGTTGCAGCCACTGGGGAAATGACAAGGGTCCCAGTAGGTGTTCCTGGGGTAGACCGGCTGCTGCTCCTCATCTTCCACTGCAGTGAGCAGCCGTCAGAACAAAGTTTTCTTGCACAAGGATACCGCCGCACCTCTTCTTTCCCTTATCTAGGAACCGAATGTAGGCCATGTAGGGGTGGGAGTGGGGCTTGGTCTCATGTCCCCCGATGATCTCCTCTGAAGAAAAAGGCTATAAAGAAGAAGGAAATAGTATCCTTTGCAACAATATGGATGGAACTAGAGAACATTATGCTAAATGACATAAGTCAGTCAGAGAAAGACAAATATCATATGATCTCACTTATACGTGGATTCTAAGGAACAGAATGGATGGGAGAAGTGGACGCAGATAGTCTCAGAGACAGAGAGGAAGAAATGAGGGTTGTTAGTTGGGAGGGGGTGGGGATGAAGGAGAGGGGAAGGGATGAGACAATACAAA